AATAAAATATATTTTTATTTTTAATGGTATATATTTTTATTTCTAATAGAATTAATTTTTAATTTGAATAGTATATATTTTTATTTTTAATAGAATATATTTATATTTATACAAAGTATACAGGGTGTCTCACCAGCGATGGTACCTTAAACGTTTACGCAGAACGGCTAAGGATATCAATTTGAAATTTTTATAGCAATTATTGTACAATTTAATCTACCTCTTAAAATTATTTTAAATAAAATTCCTCTTCCGGTTTTACCGGAAGCGAAATCAACTCCAACTCCAATGGAACCTGTAATTATTTTTATTTTTAAATTCCTCATGAAATTCTTAATGAAATTGCTGTACCATTCCCTATACCTAAACTTAATAGTTTTCGAGTTAATAATTTTTTTCGTAAAATTTTGACAGTTGCACCTTCATTAAAAATAGCTTATAAACTTTTTGATATTCGGTTTGCTGGTATGCTGTAAGGATTTTTGGAATCTTAAAACATTGTTTTATAGATTCCATGTCTGAAACTTTTATATTTATGATCAAAAACCAGAGAAAAATCGTGTTAAATTTAGTTAACTTCAAACATAAATAACTTGTTTATTTTCAACGGAACGGTGTGCATGTTTTTACATAATCAAATAGGAAAATGAATTACATTTTGATTGTTATAACCATTCCCTATACCTAAATAGTAAGGTTTCGGAAATACAAGCAAATTTCTGTAAAAATCCAATATTTTGACATATTTATCTCAGATACCGATGAAATGTCATAACAAATTAGTTATTTCATTGATTGACAGTTGATACATTTCTTAAGGAAGATATTTTAAAAATAATGGAAAACAACAATTACACAAAGTTTTAAGAATTTAATTATTATAAATTATAAAAAACGTGATGGAAAAAATAACAACCAAAATACTATTTTAATAAATGTTCAAAATGGCGACAATTGACTTGCAAACATTTTAAAATGCGGACCTGGGAGATTCCGTTGTTCATCGGTATCTGAGATAAATATGTCAAAATATTGGATTTTTACAGAAATTTGCTTGTATTTCCGAAACCTTACTATTTAGGTATAGGGAATGGTTATACTAATCGAAATGTAATTCATTTCCCTATTTGATTATGTTAAAACATGCATACAGTTCCATTGAAAATAAACAAGTTATTAATGTTTGAAGTTAACCAAATTTACCACGATTTTTCTCTAGTTTTTGATCATAAATATGAAAATTTCAGACATGAAATCTTTAAAACAATGTTTTAAGATTCCAAAAATCCTTACAGCATACCAGCAAACCGAATATCAAAAAAGTTATAAGCAATTTTTAATGAAGGTGCAACTGTCAAAATTTTACGAAAAAAATTATTAACTCTAAAACTAAGTTTAGTTATAAGGAATGGACCATTCCGAATGGTACAGCAATTTCATTAAGAATTACATGAGGAATTTAAAAATAAAAAAATTTACAGGGTGTTCCATTGGAAATAACAAAGTTGATGTCGCTTCCGGTTAAACTGGAAGAGGAATTTTATTCAAAATAATTTTAAAAGGTAGATTAAATTGTACAATAATAGCTATAAAAATTTCAAATTGATATCCTCAGCCGTTCTCCGTAAACGTCTAAGGTACCATCGCTGGTGAGACACCCTGTATATATAGGGTGCTTCAAAAAATAAAATTTTATTTTTTTTTCGCTCTTACCCTCTCAAAGGTTTCTATTTAATATAAAAAAATCCTCACCAAATATGGGCGTTCCAGCTCAAATCTAAGAGGTCGCTGTTTTTAATTTAGTTTCCCATTTAATTAACATGGGAAAAAATAATTTTATGTTTGGAATTTTATACCTCTGTATCAAAGTAAGTTACTGCAATGATCAGTATATAAAATGTAACGCTCTACAAAAAAGCTCTCTTATTATTTTTCGATAAATTGATTTCTTCTAGAGTAATTCGAGGTGAAAGTTTGATTTTATGGTACAATTAGCAGACGGGAGGTGAAAGGGGGTAAAACAAGGCAGCGGGGGGAAGAGCAAAATAGGGTACCCAAAAAATGAGCATAGGTATAAAAATTTTCCAAAATTGTACCATCCTTTTTTTCGCATTACAGGCTCAGAATAATTATTTTCGATTAAATTAAAATTTTTTGGGTACCCCATTTCGCTCCCCACTGCCTTGTTTTGCCCCCTTTCACCTCCCGTCAGCTAATTGTTCCATAAGTAAGTGTGAATGTTACCCTAAAAACATAAATAAAAAAATTCAAAATTTGGAGGTGACATTTTGTTGATTTGTGAGTATTTTTTAGGGTTTAATGATTTTTTTCTAAAACTTCTTGCAGCATTATTAAAATGTCAGACAAAGATTTCATGATGGGTTTTTCCTCTGAAATAGCGGACACCGTCAGATCTGTCACCGATTATTTAAAAAAAATTTAAAATTGGTTCGAACAAAAAGTGCCCAAAATTATTCAGAAAATGTTTTGCTGGTGTATTTCTTAGAACTCACAACCGTCAGAAAAATAAAATCTTTGATGTGGTCACAATTTGCGGACGATAAAATTATTATCAGAAAATTTATGAAACTTTGGGCATATTTAAACAAGCAAAATGAAGGCTAACTCCCAAAAGAGTTTTTACAAAAAATTAATTTGAACAATTTACTGGTTTGGTGCAAGACTATCCTAAGTCCATTTTCAAAGAATTGGAGAAATACACTTAAAAACATTTCTATTTATTGTAACTAAATTGTTTTTTGCATATTATGTATCTATTTATTAATCTTTGGATGTAAAACCTTCCAATTTTTAAAAGAATGACGCAAAAATCAATTTAGTTACAATAAATAGAAATGTTTAATAGTGTTTCTCTCCAATTCTTTGAAAATGGAGTTAAGATGGTCTTGCACCAAACCAGCGAATTTATGTCCTATTCTTCTGGTAAAGAATACTTGGGAATGAAAGTAAAATTTGTATCATATAAAATTCATAAATATAGATAAATAATAACAAAGTATGAAGGTGGACGATATAGAGGACTTAGTGCCGTTTCACATGAAGCGTATGACGCGCCCTACGCCCTACGCCAGAAACTTGGTTGGCATCGAGTTTGTACATTTCAGATGCGGGCGTGTACGGGTGGTGTGTACGCGCGCGTGAAATTTAAGCCGGGTTCTAACAGAAAAGTAATTTAATTTAAGATTTAATTTAATTTAACTTAAAAGTTAAAAACCCAAGAATCCTTTGTAGCGTTCATACAGCGATGTAATTTAAGACTTAATTTAATAGTTGGCCAACTTTTATCTTTTAAATTAAATTACGTTACTTCAAGGTTATTTCGTACTATTTTCAATAGATGCGCATGCGTGTATAATGTTAACATTAAATCAATATTATCTAACCTAGCTATTTTGTGTTAACAAGTGTTTATTATTTTATTTGCTTTTAATATTGTGTTCGGTGGTTTTAATATTTTGTTTTAATATTCCAACTTTAATTGTTAAGGTAAGCATTGTCTTGTTTTTATTTCAAGACGTTTGAAAATTTATATTTATGATTTTTAGATGACTGATGAAGATCTGATTTTGTATGCGATGCTTTTATCAGCTTCGATGATTGCATTGGGTCTACTTAAGAAGAGAACACGGCGTTTTAAAGTAAGACCAATGAATCGTCAACGTAACCAGCATAGCGTCTACGAAAAAATCGTAAAATTTTCTGCTTTGCATGATCGGGACCAATTCTTTAAATACACGAGAATGAGCCCTGAAATGTTCCAGCATCTTTTAAATTTACTGCAACCCCATTTAAGCAGAAGCAAAAGCAAAAACCCCATATCTCCAGGCCAACGTCTTGCATTAACATTACACTACTTGTCAGAGGGTTGCTCGATGCAAGAAATTGCATGGAACAATTATATTGGAAAAAGCACTGCCCATTACATTATAAAGGAAACCTGCGATCTTTTATGGAAAATTTTGGTTCCAATTGTTTTGCCAGAACCTTCAATCCAAGATTTAAAAAATGTGGCAAGAGAAAATTTTTTAAGGTGGAATGTTCCCAATTGTATAGGGTCCATTGACGGCAAACATGTGAACATTCAGTGCCCACAGCATTCAGGGAGTACATTTTTTTCCTACAAAAAATCATTTAGTATGATCATCATGGCTGCCTGTGATGGCTACTATAAATTTACATATGTGGACATTGGTGCTGCTGGTGCCAACCATGATTCAGCAGTATTTAATTTATCAAATTATGGAAAAGCACTAATGAACGGGACCCTACCAATTCCTCCACCAGCTGCACTTCCTAACAGCAATGAAATAATGCCACATTTTTTTGCAGCAGACCAGGCATTCCCTTTGCACACAAATATTATGCGACCTTTTCCCGGCTCGTTTTTAGATGACAGAAAAAATTTTTTTTTTTTTAACCTAAGACTTTCCCGTGTAAGAAGAACGATAGAAAATACCTTTGGCATATTAGCTCAACGATGGCGGCGGCTACGCAGCACCATTATAGCCAATGAGGAAAACTGCCAGTTAATAATTCAAGCCACAATTGTTCTTCATAATTTCATACAGAAGAGCGAGCAGGATATTCCTGTAAATGAAAGGCGATACTGTCCAACTGGCTTTGTTGATTGGGAAGATGAAGCAGGAAATTTTCATGATGGGAAATGGCGGGCTGATGGCGTTTTAAGAGGCATTGGAAGAGTGGGGTCCAATAACACGTCCAGAAGAGTGCAGCAATTAAGGGACATATTGGCTGATTATTTTATGTCGGCAGTTGGAGCTTTGACATACCAGTGGGATAGAGTGTATGCAGGTGGCGTTCCAGAAAATTTTTCTTTTGAATAAAAAAATACTTCTTTAACTCAATCTTTTTTATAAATAATAAAACAATTTATCAAAAACAGTCTTTTAATTGTTATTAAAAACATTTAACATGAAACAAAAACAAAAAACTAATAACTAAGGCAAGTATAAAAAAATTTACAAAGTTTCACTTGCAATATTTTCCAATAGTTCATAAATGGTTTTTTTAAATTGAATTTTTTGTAATGGTGATAAAATTTTCATATCATGCGCCAAACTTTTTGCAAAATGCAGGTCTTCGTCTGGTGTAGGAGGAGCTGACTGGACCCTTTTATTTAAATGATCAAAGCATGACGACATTTTTTCGATCATAGCCTCTTGGGCATTCCTTTTTTTGGGCATTGTTCTTCTAGGTATTGGAACTTTGCCTGATGTAGAAGGAGTTTCATTATCCAAACTTGTAAAAAGGGGTGTCTGCACCATACTGTTTGATTCGGATGCAGAATCTGATGTTATTTGATACATCGAGTCCCATGCAACAGAGGGGCTAGAGGGTGGACTCTGGGCTCTGAGTTCTTGTTCTGGTAGTTTTTGATAATTTGAAGTAGTTCTGTAAATAATAGCATTTCTTTAATTCTTGTGACAAATTATTCTTTTATACTTTTTTATTTACAGGCTTTGTCCAATTTTTAGTACAACTTCTACAATATAAAATTTAAAGTTTAACCTCAAAATATTAATCTGATTGAAAAAAGTTAAGCATATTTAGACCAAAATTTAAATTTAACAATTCATTTTAATATATCCCTTACAGTTTGATAATAAAAACATATAAATGACCTATTTTAAGTAAACTTTACCTTCTGGTGGTTAAAAAGGGATCTAAAAACCCCATCATTTCAAAATAGGGCCATGTACACTGAGATGCTGCAGAACCCGAGGGGGTTGCTTTTATTTCCCGTTTTAATTTTGTATACTTGTTCCTCAGAAAGATCCATCTTTGTTCACATACTTCAGCTGCAATATACAACTTTATAAATAAAAAAACTTTATTTTAAAAAGAATACCTACGCATTTCATTCAAAATGTCCCCAATTGTGCGCCATGCTGCCTCTTTATCCAATTTAGATTTATACCGCTTGTCAGCCTTATTAAAAAGTGCCGGAAATCCCGACACCTGTTCGATTAATAAACCGTCATCCATTTTTGTATAAAAATGGAAAATCAGACTCTTAAAAAAACTCAAAACTCAAACAGAAAATCAACAAGTGTAAACAATGGTACAAACACAGAACAAACTAACGCGCATGACACATCACTAACGCGCAGACTCTTAAGAATTGATTTCATTGGCTATTTCTGTTAAATTAAATTACATTACTTGTTGTATGAACGCAAGTAAATAAAATTAAATTACTTTTAAAGTTAAATTAAATTATATTACGTTATTTCTCTGTTAGAACCCAGCTTTACAGCGCGGGCTAGCGCGTGGCCCGTACGCCTGACGTAGCTACGTTAGGCGTTTGGGCATGGTGGTGATACGTTCTATTCACATGCAGCGTCGCGCGTTGGCTGGAGAGCTGAATTGCCGGTTTATTCATACGCATTTATGCAAATGCACTCGAACGACATGGAGTTAAATATTGATACAGAACTATTAATAAGTGCAGTACACGAAAACAAAAATATATGGGATACTTCAGAGTCCTACAGTCTACAGTCTCGATTTTTATATTCTTCGTCCGAAGTCCAGACGAAGAATATAAAAACCGAGACTGTAGGCAATAGGCTTGGGAAAAAATCTCCGTTTCTTTAATTGAGAATTTTGATGACTTTCCGGTAAAGGAGAAAAAGGACAAAGGTATGTATACAGGGTGACAAATGCACCTTTTAGTAACCGTTGTTCCACAATTGGATGTACCCAAAGTCGTTTCTTTCGTTCGCGGGTTTTATTAATTAGGCAATACGCAGCAATGGCAACAACGCCTGGTGTGTATCGAGACACGTCCATACTGATACCGCTTCATGTGAAAACAAAACCGACCGATCCTAAATCTCTATATATGGGAGGTCCACGAACATTTTTAAAAATATGTCATTTTGCGCCCAAAACATTTTATTGAATGAACATTTTTTATTATAAAAATTCAAAATGTCAACGTTCTGTTATGGAAATATATACGGAGTACACGAGACATTAATGGAGCCTTAAACAAATTAATGGGTGTAAATCTAGTAGTGTAGCAGAATATTACATTGATTATTTCCCTCAATGTAATATGAACCAATCAAAAGCCTTGAATTTTCGAAAAAATTTCGTTTAAATAAGCGATTAAATCACTAGACCTTTTTAACAGCGATTAAATTTTAGCCTCCATATTGGATTTTTGTTTACGATTTTATGGTGTTATTTACAAGTGTTAACAAACATTTTTTAAAAAACAATAAAAAAAAATTATTATTTAATAAGTTATCTAGTTTACGAAATATCAATTATTACTTATTACATACCTTAAATTAATGGAATTTTCTTTAAAAAAATATTTATAAACTTTGACACATACGTCAGATTTTATGAATGGTCAAAAAGTTTTCTTTAATTCGAAAAATAATCTAGACGTATATCACTCAACCTATAAATTTAATCTGTCAAACTATGCTCAGTAAGTTTTTTATTTGATTTTTCTTTTTGGAAAATAGTTTCATGCAAAATAATTAAAAATAAAACCCCTCGACCGCTACGCGGTCTCGTGATTTTATTAAATTATTTTGCATTCAACATTTTCCAACAAAAACCAAACAAAAAACTACTGAGCCTAGTTTACCCGATTAAATTCATAGTTCTCGTGATATAATATATGAATAAAAAGTAATCTACTGTTATGGCAATGAAGAAAAAGTGTCATTTTACTGATGTTTTAAAATAGAAATATTTTCTAAAAAAAATTTGAACACTAAAAACCGCGCTGCGCAATAATATTAAGAAATATCCTTGGTAAAAATTGCTAAAATATGGCAAGCGTCGCAAAGAAATTTACAAATTCAATGACTCTATAAGAGACGAAGAGCATTTCGGCAGTAAATCATGTGTACAGTGCGGAGAAGATAATAGCAAAATTTATCGCTGCGATCGTGTAAACCACACTGGCGGAATCATGAATCATTTTTGGCAAGAAAATCGATAAATTATTATGAAAATATACCAAATTGGATGGGTGGCCATTAAATATTTACATAAATGTTTGTGTGGTTAAACATTGTTGTAAGGTTTTGCTTTATCCATGATTTATCAATCTAAAATACGAAGATAACATTTTTTTCTCTATGTATATTTAAGTTACTGACTTTTATTCATTTATATATAGACAGTAAATTATAGGCAAAATGCAAATTGTTAATTTTAATAGGTCGTTAAAAATTGTCAGAGCCATTTAATCCAATATCATTGTGTCTAAATATAAAAAATAATGCATTTCTATATCATATTTAAAATAGAATTTCTCTTTTATAACTTGTATTAGGTACTATTACTACTCGTATTAACATTACTTGCTTTAAAAACTTCATCATTTATGGGTCCGGTCCGATTCCTCGTCATGAAAAATTTGTCTATCTTTACTTTTTCAAGAATCGTCAGTTAAAATTTATGATCAAAATAATGAATCAAATATTTACCTAAACCAAAATCATAAATTTCACAAAAGGAAAGGATAATTATAAACCCCTAAAAAGGATTATTATTAACCCATTCCAAGGATCTTTACCACGTATTAAATAATGGTGCAAGGGTTGCTACCCCCTGTGTAGCTTTAGGTCAGTTTTCCGTCAGTACTCTACCGGTGGCAACAAAGCGCGATACTTTTCTTGGTGTACAATTTTACGATTTTTGTACATTTACGAATTTTGTACAAATTAGGGTACACAGAGAGGAAACACTCATTTATTATTACAAAATATAAGTTACGAACAAATTTCTTTATAAGTACCATAAAGTTATAATTTTTAAATTTTGAAATATAATAAATAAACTTTTTGTTTAATTGGTAAAACATGATGAATTCCTAGAACTTAATTATTGCCTCAAGATAAGATATCTCTAATTTTTTAATAAATAATATAGAATAGATTTTAAACACACGAAGGTGTTTTGCTGGTTGATGTCTTGGTTATTAACAAAAAAAGAGTATTAGGTAATAATTTGGCGGTTATTTAAGAAGTTATATGAATAATAGTTAGCTGTCATGGTTTAAATGTATTACACTGGTTTAATATCAGTAATCTTACAATATCTACAGAATATTACACTATGAGGTAATAGTTAACTCATCGGGTAATAATAAATCTACGAAGAGATGACTCGTAGACCTTTTTATTATTATTATCCAAACAGATTTCTTAATACTTATTATTATATATTATTTATTGCTATAGCATGGTGTTATGTGTAATAACTTATTACTATTTACTAATAAGATTCATTTATACCCAATAAACCACTGGAGTGGGGATAAAAAAGTACCTATGCCGCATAGGCTATGCGAGTTTCGACTAGTTCAGTTAAGACTCTTAAGAGATTTAGTCGATTCCCATCATAGAATTGTAATAGTTGCATCATTAAGTGAAAACGTTTTTTTGTGTGCAAATTATGGAAAATTCCAAGGCAGATTGTCAGGAACTCTTAACTAACTAACTAACTACTAACTAAGGAACTCTTAACTAAGTGTACTACTGTAAAGAATATCACTCCAGTGGCATTGCACAGAAACGGCAGTTATGTTTTCTTGGTAAAAAAATACTAAAAGTAATATTTTTATGAAAAATAATGAAATCATATTTTGTTACCGGAAGCTCATTATAGATGAGTGGTAACTTGGATTTTTAGTCAGTTCTAAAAGGATTTTTTTATTTTTATATACCGGGCTTGGTTATACCTACGGATATATAGGTATATAGGGAGCCCGGTAAATAAAAATAAAACAGGAAATATAAAGCATTAAAAAAATAAAAATTAAATTCTTTTAGAACTATTATAGTTCTAACTACAAATCATTGATTTTAAATCAGAAGTTACCACTCATCTTTAATGAGCTTCCGGCAACAAAATATCACTACATTCTTTTTTCTAAAAATATTACTTTAATTATTATTATTTTTATGTACTCATAGGTATAAGCTTACTCTAAATGTATTCATTTTTCAATGGCGGCTGGTGGATTTACCGATATAACGATATCTTAGTTGGTGTGGGTCCCATGTCTTATAACTAAGTATCGGTATACCCAAAACCCCCCAGACGCCACTTTCTTTTTTTTTGTTCTGTTACACCTTAAATATTTTTAAACTTTTTTCAAAAATAAATTTTCTTATAAATATACACTTTTATTTATTACCTTATACAATCGCACTGTTATAAATACATGCTATACTAATAATCATACATTTCTAATAGTTAAAATATGAATTGATAATTGCAATTAATTAAAATATTTATTATTATTTCTCGCATTATAATAAACACCTATTGCCTTTTTAATACAAAGCTCTTGTGGATGAAGTATTACCTTAAGTTCATTTACTATAAATAGGCTTTTCTAATATATATATATATACGATTTTGTTAAAACTTTGTTCGTTTATATATTTTTTAACGAATTTAAGTCTCTTGTCTGGCGACTCGAGACGCAAGCCTTATTCTTGTAAATAATAGCCTGCATTTCCTCTAGTATACACCACCTGGCCGTTATCATTGTAACCAGAATTCAGATTTTATTATGTTAATTAATTACATTATTATGTAACAAACGAATGCTTTTAAGAGTAAAGCCGGAAAATATTAAAAATATCGAAAAAAAAATATTTGTTTTGTTATTGGGTGTTTTTCGAGAGGAAATACTGGGTTGAGTTTTTACCGGTTTCCCAATAAACAGTGGAAATCCTAATTAAGAAATAATTTGGATACAGTCCCAGTAAATATAAATTATACCTATTAGGAACAATAAATACACATTTTAGTAATGATTTAAATTGTAAACATTTCAATTCAGTAAAATCGTAAAACAAATAAGTCGTCTAAATTCAAACAGCATTTAGGATTATTTACAGTAAAATACCAAGAACTGGTATTATATTATGTATTATATATACATATAATATTATGTTGCCATGAATTGGTAGGTATATTTTATTCTTTAAAATGCAGTTAACTGCCATTGTCGGCGTTTTTTTAAAGGGCTTAAATATAAAAATATTTTATTTTAAGGTTTGTACAAGTACATGATTATACCAAAAAAATATCTTAGATCGTCTTGAGGCACGTGTTGTATTTAATTAAAAAAGAAGCTTTTTAGGGAGCGTTGCAAAAAACGCCATCCTTTAGTCATTCTGCACCAACCTATTAGTCATTCTGCACCAACAAATATACTTACGTATTGGATGTCAAGATATGAAAATGCAACGATTTAGTTCTTAAATTTTATTTACAAGTAAACACATAATAATTCACCATGATCACTTAAAAAAAATACACACACTAACGTAACTACATATAAGCGTTGAGTTTCTTAATCAATGTTATAAGGAATAATAAATCGAAATCGAGTACTAAATCAAAGATTTTTAGTTTTTACTTGCAACGCGAAACACAAATAACGTGGGCATTTTCGCTGTGCTATTGAACAAAATTTGTCTATTAAGACTTCTGCTTTTCTCTCTTTTGTAAAAAAACGACCTATTTATTTAAAAACGATGTGTAGTTCGTATGCTTTAAGTGTATTATATACTATAGTATAATATTAATATATTAAAAAATAATTTTGTATAAATTGCATACGTTTTTGTTGTAACAACATCCTTTATTTTTTATAAAAATTTTAGGTTGATAAATAAATTTATCAACCTAAAATTTTTATAACTGTTTCGATATAGAACTAACCTTAATTTCTAGGTTAATACGTTTTTTTCAATCAATAATTATTTCTAAAAATATTTAAGCGCAGTTGTTATAATTTCACGAGTTTAAAGATCGAGTGGAATTTGTACAAAAAGATTGAATAAAAATTATCTGGTTTATTAAGGAATAGGTAATATTTATTGAGTGAAAATACCTACTAAAAATACAAAAAATGGTACAACAAAATTTATAAAATATATCTAACTAAGTATGCAATATTAATATATAATTTTACCTTTCACCGTGTTTCTTCTTTTTAAATATTAATAAATGATTCATTTTAATGTTTTGTACTAAAACGTTCTAAAAAAACTGGTTTTGACGGTTTGGGTTTACGATACAAACTAACCGTAGTCATAGCAACGTGGTATTTCCGATGTTATTTTTTAATTTCCACTTATTAATTTAATACTTTGTTACAACAATGCATGAGTAAAATATTTACCAAAATTTTTAACCAATGAAGTAATTTTTAAGTTGTGTAAAAATACACAAAAAAATTAGTCAAATTTTTAGCAAATTATAAAGTTTAAAGTTATAAAGTTATAAAGTATAATTATAAAATTATAAAGTTATAAAGTATAATTAAGTTCTAAATTATACTTTTCAGGTTTCTATAGTATCTCTCCAATTGTAAAACTACCATATTCTTTGGTTTCAAAACTGGACAAATCCAGGTTTTTGTTGCAAATACAGACAAAGTTAAGATCGATGTCTTAGTTATAGTATGTAGGTATTCCATATTATTATTAAATACGATATAATATAAAATAATTATTTAAAATTAATTAAACATTATCAATTAGCATCTTTTTCACCTGGAAAGTTTTTGAATTTGTTTTATATTTTTCCTAAAACTACTTTTGATTCCTAACAACTTAAATACATGAAAAGTAGTAATTCTTTTGAGTAAATTTACTATATTATTTTAATAAAAACATTTTCTCTTTAATTTCTATCAAAATATTTACTATAAATTTGTTTAACATAATTATAAAAAATACTTGTATGCATTGTAACGCATTTAAAAGTTGAACACGTTTGAGTAAAAAGAATGCGTGATGATTTTTTTAGTGCTGAGGCCTCTTATGAGAAAAGTGACCTCTCTTCGCCTCATTTTTCCAACAAGGCCCGGAATGACGTAATAACAGATAACCGAAATGATCACCGCCATCATATCCATTAAATGGAGAAATATATTTCTCCAGCAACGCTATAAAAATTTGTTTGGGAGAATAAAACTAAAATCAAGCAAACATTGTTTGGATTTCTTTTTAATTAAGGACTTGGCCCTTAACTTAATTTTATTAGTTTTTCGCACTTCTAGTCATTCTTTTAAAAAACTCCTGTGATTAGCTACACGGAAAGAAAAGTATAATGCTGATTACCATAATTATAATACCCTTTACTATAATTTATATTACCATTTGGCCCAAATGATTTGGGACAACTATCTTGTATATTGCCAGATACTATGCATATTTAGTAATTTTTAAATATCCATGTATGTTAAACCTTAAGGTAAAATATTATTATTCTCAAACAATTTTGTTTTTAATTCCTATTATAATTAGATTTTTTCCATTACTAATAAGTAAAGTAAATTTTAAAATATTATGTTGCCATTTTAAATATAAAATATTTTAAAATCGAATATTTTTATATGTTAACAATTAAAACTTGTAACATATGTATTGTACTTTTTAATATACAAAAATGTTATGAGAAAGAATTAAACCTACATCTCGCCAAAGTTTTTTGTTTTGAGTGCGTTCCATCAACTTCAAATACCGACAGACAGCTATTTTGACCTATATTGGGTATCATCAGTGTCGACACGACACTGTCGAGCAACTTGTAGTAGTGAAACACACCCAAAACAAAGAAATACCTGAGCTTATATAACATGGTTGGTAAGCCAACAGAGGCGAGATGTAAGGACATCACGTGGTCCACACCGTCTAACGACGCATCGCGACATGGCCTTTGCCGTAATCGGTACATACTATGCAACCAAGTAGGTTCAATTCTTTCTTATAAGTATTACCAGTAATGGGTCAAGAAAGTTTATTGAAGAAACTAAAAAAATTAAATGTTTAAAATGTCATGAGTTACTATATTGTATATTATATTTAAATATTTTGTTTATTTACCTTAAACATAAAAGTATAATATTAGATGTACACCTTACATTTAATTAAATCATATAGTAAATATTACTATTTGGAGATAGTAAAATCAATTTACTATACGAACATATTAAAAATTAAAATATATATTATAAATTTATGATTTAGTAATATTGGTGTTTGTAATCTTTACTAAAATTGTATAATAAAAAATAGTATTTTATATTACAATATAATATAATAATAATATAATATAATATAATATTGTATTGACGAATATATAATATTGTTACCCTAAAAATTTGTTAAAGTAAATTTTACTATATTTTTTTTTACATTTTGGCTTGGAATTTTATCCCCTATGCACCCCTTTTTAGCTATCCATGACTTTTGGACACCCTGTATATTAAGAAAAAAATGATTAAATTTTCTTTGTCTAAAATTTTATTTTATATTAGGCATTTAAACCTTTATTTTTGGAAAAAGTATTTATAGCAATAACACAATAAACTATAAAAATCAACTGCCAATTTAAAAAATCCCAACGGAAATCCAGTAGATATTACTAATTACTAATTAACAGACAAAAAAGTAGCTAACATGTTGCTCGTTATGCCGCCTTGAAAATTACTGAAAAATAAGCGTTGAATTTAGGCATTGGACGGATCGACGCATGCCCTCCTCCTGAAAACTCCTGAAAACTGAAATACTAGCGTTAACGCTGCAGACCGTCAGTTCAGGACACGACCTCGCACTGAAAGCTCGATCCTGTCGCGAATCTCCGGAAATCTTCGCCAAATCACGAACGTAGTACGTCGATGTATAAAGCGCGCGTTATGGTTTAAAATTAAATTTTGGATGCATTTTTCAGGATGATAAAGACGTATACATTTGGCATCGAAAAATAAAAAATAAATACTGTTAAATTAGCCATTAATAACTATAAATTGTGTGAAAGAGGGTTCAACCACTTGTGGACTAAATAGATAAAACTATAGAAGACAATTTGTGTGGTGTTTTAACGTTTAGAAAGGTTTTTGAAGTATGTAAGTTTATTAGTGTTGTTCTGGTGGTTTTTAAGTGATGGTCAAAGAAAAAATGGGCCACTTAAGGGGTGCTCGTCTGGCTTTGGTGCCTTTGCTAGCTGTACTTGTGACGTCTCTTCATGCTTTTCAAGGTAAGTGGTGTCGATTTTAAGAGGAAATATGAGTTTCATTGTCCACAAATAAGGACCTACTTTTTTAAAATGGGATCTATTTTAAAGGGCATAAAACAGTAGAGTTATAAAAGTAAAATGAAGATTTGTAATTTTCATGAAAATATCGAAAACCGGTTTAGTTTTTAAAATGGATGAAATTTTTAATTTATTTAACTTTTTTTCCCCAATTTATAATAAAGCTAACTTCAGACTGTGACGAAAATGCCATAAAGTCGCAGTATATTAATGTGGGAGTACCTAGATAAAAAAAATTGTGTTAAAATTGTATAAGTAGTTTTTGATTTATCAATCATTTAAAAAATCGACAACGTATTTTATCAAAATATTTATCCCGGGAAATAGATTGGTAGATGACGTGCTCGAGAATCACCGGCAAGATTTCCAGATTTAACGCCACTAGATTTTTTTTCCAGGGTAATTTAAAACACAAGTCTACAAAACATCACCTGAGAACATTCAAAAATTAAAACAAAGAATAGTGCAAGAATGTAGGCAGATATCTCCTAAAACGTTTCAAAAAGTTCAACAAGAGTTTGAGAACAGATTGTATTATTATTTAACAAATACCGAAGCACCTTTTGAACATTTAAAATATTGTTTATGGAATACTTTGTTTTTACTCGCTAATCAGATCAGAAATTGAATTTTTTTTAAATGATGTTGCGCCATTTAATTTTTTTAGTGAGGTGAGAGTGCAACATAAAATTTGTTTATTACTGAATTTGTACTTCCCCCTTGATATCTAAATCGACCTGTTTTTACTCAAGGTTCTATTTACTATAACTCAAAAGTTATTAAGGGTGAAGGGTTTTTAATTAAAAGCCCTGCATGCCTTTAATTTTACCTTTATTACTTAATATTGTATTTTTGCTTGGCAACAAAAACAAGTTACTCCTTTTCGTATTTTTAACGTCTATATTACATATGGGTTGTTATGGAACCCTAATAAAGAAGGCATCTGCAGCAATATTGAAAAATTTATTTTCTAAAAGTTTGTGTAGAAAAATTAAAATTTTAAATTATCACAACTTTGTTGTTACCATTAACAAATTTAATTTTTTTGATTGGACTTTTAATTGTTTTCTAACCTTTTGTGTAATTACATGGTTGTTAAAAGTTGTGACTTTATGGCGTTTTAGTCACGGGCTGAAGTTAGTATTAATTTAGCTGACAGTTGTTAAATATACAATCATTAAAATAAAGTGCCTTTATTGTAAAATAATTCTAAATGTGATAATTATTTTATTATCAGAATACAAAAATACAAAAGTATTAAATAGTTTCTTAACGCCAATATTTGAAAAGTTTTTATGAAAATTGTACTGACCTTTTAATTTCGCCGGAAGTAAACTAGGTATAACTTAAATACGGGCTCGGACCCAACTGTAAAGTGCTCATGACACATTTTCTTAACTTTCAATGTAAAAAACTGTACATTTTCAAGGAATACATTTCGATTTATAACCTTTATAATCTGTGTTTATAAAACAGAAAAAAATTGACATTTGACATTGACAGTTTCCCTTATTGTTTCATAGATGGCGCTGTATACAAATATTTGATTTAAATCATTTTAAGATAATAATACGTAGAAAAAGTATAGTATGAACATCGTTTATAAACTTTTTTTATACACTCATTAATTTAAGCACTCGCTCGCAAGCTCGCTCGTGCTTAAATTTTGTGTATAAAATGGCGTTTATCAAACTTGATACATAATATACTATTAATTATTTTCGTTAATTTTAAAAAGGAGGCTTTTAATATTAAGCATTTTTTAGGTTTCTGTATGAAACATCATTATTTTAAAAAAATATTTGTTTTTTTTTTATACAAATATTTTTGTAAAAATTATTATATTTTATTTTAATTTTTGACATAAATAATATAAAATTTGGGTTTTAAAATCTAGCCTATTTAAAGCCGAGGCCTTGGCCGAGACTGCAGATCTGAGCAAGGCAGTTAATATGCTTTCTCCGCCGTGTTGAATATAATATTTTTTTCAAGCGTTGAATAATTTTGTGCTTATCGGTTTACGACTTTTTGTCAGGTTTGACGTTTGACTTAGTTATGTTATAGGTTATGTATATGAATTTATTCTTCAGTGTACATTTTCTTTGCTGATTTCAAGCTAAACGCAATAGATGGTACCTTTTCTACTATGTAGTTTCATTATTGTACGGCGGTTTATAATAATTTTACTTTTGAACTGCCTACATAAATTAAGTCTTTCTACATATATTTAGGCTTATGAGTGCTATAACATAACGGTTAAAAAAAATTATTCAAGTTTTTGGCACACAATAAAACACAACAGACATAAATTTAAAATATATTACATAAAAACCCAGTATTTTTAGAAAATATACGTTTAGGTTCTTTTCTTTTAGTAATACACATGAAGTTTTTAATCATTAATGTAATATTATATTAATTTGGTTTTTTTGTGTTTATCACTACTTATCTAAAAAAAATATTTTTGCGCCATTTTTGGGACATCCTGAATAAATAGATATAACTTAAATATAGGGTATTTTAAAATTAACCTTTGTTTTTTTTTAATTTATTCGTCAAACAAAAAAAGAAAATTAAAATCTTAAAAACTATGCGTCCTAAAAGAAAACCCAGATTTAAAAAAATATTCAAGCTATAAACTAATAATACTAAATAAAACTAAAAATTAGTAATTAGTAAAACATTTAATGGCCTGTTTACAGCATACCATAACTAAACCCCGGTAACTAAAAAGTGCACATTAACTAAAAATTATTATTATTTTTTTAACTTATAGTAAATACCTAATAATTATAATTATAATTATTAATTATATTATAATTAATACCTTACTACATTTAAGGAAAACTTGAAATTTTAGTAACGAAATTTAAATTTTTATATTACCCATAAGGCAAGAGATAACAGGAGAAACTTATTATACAATCTAATTATTCTTTTAACTTGTAAAAATGTTAAACAGGCACGAGTAATTTAACTCAGGTAAAATGGAGATAACAACTGTTAAGCTCTGAATGAATAATTAATAGGACTCAAGAAAGGCGACCTTAAAATAGAAATACGCGGATAAAACTGTTTTATTTATTTAATCATTTTAGCGATTTTAAGTTAAAATTTAACAAACTTATAAATATTAATATCAATATGAAGCTCGTTTTAGATAGGTAATCATAATATTATTACGGTATAAAATTTTGAAAATTTTCATCATTTCCAGTCACAAATTTAGTTTGATGTTTATTTAAAGTGTAAAATTACTTTACCAACTTCCGTACTATATGTTCCGTACCTATAGGTATATATACAATCTTTTTATATATATGATATTACCTTGTATGAATTAATGATTTATATTTTTAATTTAAATTTCCTTTCATATACAGAGAAAAAACTTTTATATTGAGCCCTTATCATTTGGGTGGGCATTGTCACCCGCCCCCACCCCGCTTCTACTATAAACATTTCCTGAAAACAAACGTTTGTCGACACGATCGTGACATATCACTTTTAGAAATCCTACTACGTAGTAAGTACTAGGTGGCTTATTTTTATTTTATTATCTTATTTTCTTTCAATTTTTCCCTCAACTTTCCTAGAATATAATGTAAAACAACTTTGGGCCAATGCGGATTTCCAGTATTGGTTCGGGACAATGTTGGGTTTCAATATTGGACCATTCTAGAAAAAATCTGACGAAAGATATATTGGCCCAATATTATTACGAATATTGGGCCAATATCTTTGTGCTACTGGGGATACTATCAACTTAAAAATTTCAAATGGAAAGGGGAGATGGTGCTACTTTATTTGAAGGGTATTTCGATACAATTTAAATTTTTGAAATCCGTTTGCTGGTTAGTAATTGAGGGTTTGATTTTTTCAAACTAATAAATTTTCTCGCCGACCTACGTTGCTTGTTCCGTAATTCCGGCCCTGGCGGTACGAATGGGGTAGTTAAATTTCTTCTGACCTATACTTTTTATGGTTTTATTCAAAGCGTTTTGTAATTTTAAACATTTCTGTGAAATCGGAATTTCAATTGAGTTTACCGTTTTCGAGATATTTACAAAAAAAATCTCCTAATTACGTCACTAGGCTATTGACAACGTTGCCAGCTTTTTCTATGGTTGCCAGTGTGTTTAGTTTAAGATTCTTACGATAGATGGCGCCACGTTATAATAGTTTAGTTTTAAAACCACTTGATCTATAATTTTAGTTGAGAAGAAGAAGAAGAATTAATTTTTTGACGTTTCTTTTTTTCGGGTTATGTTTTTTTTAAATTTAGATTATTGAAAATCAATGTTATTGTTATGTTATTTGTAATTGATATTGGATAAGTGATTTATAATAACTGACTCCAAAGCAGAGTAATCTTGTGGAATGGTTGGTTACATTGAACATTGGAGCTTTTAAACAAATTAAGTAAGTACCTATAATTATAATCATATTTTGTCGTAAATGCATTTCATTAGTATAATGCCTAGTTCTTTATATTCTTTTAGGTATTTTGGACTCTAAAATATCAAACAGTAATATGATACCTCGTAATAAGGAAGATAGGTACTTAATGAATTTGGTGACCATCTTTCTGACAGTGACAGTATTTGTACATAACCTCTTCGGGTATTTTCTGACATAACCGAATGAAATCATTAACAAGACAACTTGACAACAGGGTAATTTTCAACCAATAGAAATCTTTTTGTAAATATCTCGAAAACGGTAAACTCAATTGAAATTCTGATTTCACAAATGTTTAATATTACAAAACGCCTTGAATAATCCATAAAAAGTATAGGTCAGAAAAAATTTAACTACCCCATTATCGCAAATCTGTATCAGCATTTAATTTTTTGTTGGCACTTTTTTGTTTTTGTTTTGTGAAAAAAACGTATCAGTGTAGTTTTAAGACGGTTTATAAAATAATTGTACCCGTTAGTATA